TATATATTGTATTCCAGTCTCCTTTCAGATATGTTAAGTGGCATGTAATTCAACACAATGCTGCTCACCTCCTTCAGTTGGGAGAAAAGCTGGTTCAGGTTCAGCATTATGGGGGGAAAGGGCTGCTGGATCTGTTGGTCCTGGCACCAGGGGGAGGGACAACTGATTTAGTATGAATAGCTGCTAAAAATCTACCTGCATTTGTTAAATGTCAGCTAAAAGAGCAGTGAAATTAAAAACCTCTGCATTTTCTTCATAGATATTAACAGTACTTAATGTCAGCTTAGTAAAAAAAACAACATAACAATTATTATTTACAATGGACTACGCTTAGCTAACAGACTAATTTCCACCACTCATGGACCACACCCACCTTTTCTCTTGAAAAACTGGGTGATATACTGTCTCCCTTTAGTCCCTCTCTCTTGTCTTTCTCTCCTTTCTTTTCATTTTGAAAGCCTGACTTTGTGAGTGGTTGAGACATGGCACACACGTAAGTACTAGCATCCCTGCTTACATGCTCTCACTCTCTGCTAGAAAGTGCCGTTTGGAGGCAGAGGCGGGACCAAACCATTACATGTAAATAGAAGGGGGTGTATAAAGGCTTTGGATAATTAACTTTTGGAAGAAAATAAGTTAAATGAATTGTAAGTTTAGTGAGTACATTATCAATATAACGTTATATTAATGTTAATTATTGATGAATGATGAAAGGTTACTTAAACATTTTTTTCTTAATGTTCTAAAATAGTTTGGGCCCCCGTGGTGAGGGTGTTTGGGCTGGCCAGGATTCAGCTGGGGGTGGCCACGGCCAACCCCCAGCCACCCCCAGCTCCGCCACTGCTCTTTCCCAATGTTAGTCAATGGGAAAAAGTCTTTCTGGGCCCAGGGACCTCACAGAAATTGTAGTACTGCCGTTTGGCCACAACGAGTATTTTCCTCAAATTCCGGAGCACTTCCTGGGGACACACCCCCAAGACGAGCTCATTTAGATATCGGGTGTTTCTCAATGTCGAGGACGCTTCCTTGTTAGGACATGTCTTCCGAGTCAGGTCAAGAATCCTTAGCCTCGGAAAACAAAAAGAATGGTGGAACAGGCTACAGGTGTGCAGGTGTGCGTCATGTGCGTGGCCCTGCCTTAAATGGAGCGCGATTTCCAGCAAATATTTGGGAAATTGGTCCGTGCGCAAAGCATTGTGGGGATTTTAAGACCGCGGAGGATACACATGTGCAGCCTCGAAATTTCCCGCAACGAAGGATTCAGTCCTCGGTAGAATTCCAAGGATCCTTTACATTGGAACAGTTCTGCGGCGGGACTCGATGACGTATCATCCTTTAAATAGTGGCTCTGGAGGAGCCTTCCTCGACATTGAGAAACACCCATCTTCTCCTCTGTTACATGTTGAAAGCGGGAAGAATTCGCCAAGATTATTGGTCGCAGAATGTTGGAGCTGGTATTGACCAATCACCTGCTAGCATTCACAGTCTCCCCTGAAGGAGTGTGTTCGGGTTTCACATGGCGTTGTTTCAATGCATGTGGAATGAAAACTAAAAGGATTCAAATGTAAAATTGTGGTTCACTTTCACAGGTGTGTTCACTTACTGCGCCTGGTTACACTTCATTGTGGGCGCCTACTGTTTGATTGACATCTCACTCACTTCATTGTTAGGGCAGGACTATTTAACATCTTTATTATTCTAAGCAGCTCCACTTAATGTATAATAGAAATGTAAGGCTCTTTCAATAACATTTCTTTACTAACAACAACAATACTAATACCGTAGTAACAAGACAACAATTATATATTTTTTGTTTTATTCTAACAACAATAGTGCCAGAAATTGCACAGTTTGACCGTTTACAATGACATCAGATTAAAAATGTGAGAAATATAAAAACATCAAAGCAGTCACTTTTGACACAATAATGCTTAAACCTGAGAAGAACATTCTCTCACACCAAAGCCTCAACACAAAAAAGAAACCTTCCCTCAGATATGTTACATTTTCACTTCCTTCATCATGCCAGGTTATTATTAAGGTCAGAGGACACTTTATTGTGCACAACAAGGACGAGCTGGCAGGAGGTTACAAGTCACTGTAGGCAGAAGCTGAATAAAGAAACATGATAGGGTTACTGGACTTTAAAGCACTTAGAAACTGTAGTAACAGAACAATATTACTTTGACTCCCATAGTACTAGATAAACCATCAGCTAGGTTACTTGGTAAAGAAAAATGACTGATTCATTGTTGGCTGTCATTATCATGTGTATGTGTTATTGTAGTATTGTACTACAGTCTTATATCAGGATGTTTGTGCTGAGAACACCAGAGCATGTTTACGACTGATTCCACACTGGGAATACATTTCATAAGGGAAATTGTATCCGTTCAAATGTTCTGTTCTAAAAAGGGATTTGGTTTGACTGAGTCATTCTTTTCAGTAAGTTAAACTGTGATTTGACAGAAAGCCGCGCCAAATCTCGGTCTGAACTTGGTCTGTAGGAAATGTTTTTTTAAACATACTGTACGTTGTATAATGTAGATTTTATTGACAAGATGATAAAGTAACAAGATGCCTGCCTGAGGTATCATACTGTAAAGACTTATTGGACAATCATTTACTCTTTACTTCCTTGTCATAAATCAAGAGAATAACTGACAAATTGACACATTTTCAGGGAAAATAAAGTTAAAGAAAGGAATTTAATTGTGAAAATAACTGACAAATTGACCAATTGTCAGTGACAATAAGGTTAAAAAAGGATCTTGTGAGTAAGCAAGATTATTTTCTTCTATTGGAATATAAAAAAGACAATGCCAAAGTGATAGTATGTCAGTTTAGAATCAAGACCCTCATGTGAAACATCATGTCACAGTGAACACCGATATAATCACATTTATATGGATATAAAAACACATCTAATCTCAACTCATTTCTTCTATTAGTGTATACCACCAATTTACAAAGAGGCCGACCATGTGCGTCTCAAAGCACTAAAATTGCACCAAACAGACACATGCACAGAAACGCTGACCACTTACGCCACCAGTAATCAATTCATAGACACGCAAAGACATTCTGTGCAGGGACATTCTCATCGGGGACAGAAGCGGTGTCTCTGCAGAGAATGCTGACTCATGACTGTGCTTACTGCAGGGGCAAGAGGGATTGGTCCCTGATGAAGTTATCTTTAGTTTTATAGAGCCACACAAATGTGAAATCATACTGCCATATTGAAGTCATGTTTTAGTGAGTAAACACATTCACTGTAGACCTGTATCATTTCACTAAGACACTGCTGCTGAGGCCTGACGATGGGCCAGACACAGCGCTGCATTCAGCAGCAGGAAGGCACAGCAGCTGCTCAGCAACATGAGAGCTGAGCAGCAGCAGGAGACACTACAGGAAATCACTTTCAGCTGCTTTACATGTGTTCTTTCAGACTAGTGGGAAGAAAACATCCAAAAAATACACTTTTTTGACTAACTTTGTCCATTTGTTTCTGTAGATTTCTCCTAAATTACCCAAAATGTTGCTTAAGATAATGCCTTGTTTATATTTAAACAAAGCAAATGTCTTCATGTAGGTGATCATCTGTAGAGGTTAAAGGTAAAGGTACTGTGTAAATGTAGGCGCTGGAAATGTATTACAATATCTTAAAAACTGTTTCTTAAAAATACGTTATTTCTCATGCTCTGATCTACATACACCAAATGTCATAGTGTCATTCCTGTCTTTATGGTCAAGGTCAAAATGGATTATTTGATGTAATTTGCACATTTGAAAAAATAAAATGTCCCTATTATGGACATGTTAAAATGTCAACCCTATTCACCTGTAGTGTCTCCCTTAAAACAAAGCAGAAATACACAATGCCTGAACACAGAGGCATTACATACACAATGTGAAATCCAACTCTAGTTCAGCTGTGGTAGATCAATCACCGTCATGTGACCCACATACTGTAAATAAACAAATGATAGGCCTAAGACACTGATCATCACAACAATTATAATGATGTTGTGAAGCAATCGTGGCAAAATAAATCCAAAAGTGTGTTTCTTTAACATCATTCCCTAAAAAGACTTACTAAAAATAGTCAAAGAGAAATAGTCAGATTATTTCCCATTGTTTCTCCTGCTGTCAACAATCCCATTGGAAGAGCAAAAGCAACTCCATGGATTGTGTGTGTAACAGCCTGATACTGTGCCATAGAGTTCACTGTTGCAATGGCTGACCATAGTCCTTCATTACCATCATCGCACACACATACACCATCCTGCTAACAAATTGAACATTGAAAATAGTCCCCAACAAATGCACTATTTTCACCATGATGCTTTGTTTCCTTTAAACTACAGTGGGCAGCTTTTGAAAGAAATAATCAAGCCTTTAATGATTTCATCAGGAGGGAGCAATGGGCTTGAGGTTGAATATTAAACTGGTTGTTGACAATAATAAAGAATAACTCTAGCCTCTTAATTGCTCCTAAAAATCGTCAAAATAATTCCAAGTGTTCTTACACATTAAGTAAAAGCATTTAAAAACAGAAGATAGAAACAGACAGGTAGTTTTGTGATTCGGAAAAAGGTATTTCAAACAAAATAAAAAAAGTAAGACAAAAAGGTGGTGTTTCCTTGGTCTTTAGTTTTCACCTGTACACCTGCCACTGGGAGAGTGGATTACAGTAACCATGACATACAACTCACTTCTTTCAGTAACCCCCAAGTGCAGTTTGAAGCTCCAATCATAATGTACATCAGCTGCAATACTGAACAGACATCCCATAATCCTCCAATGGACATAAATCCAAGGCTTAGAGGAAGTAAGTAAGCTGCTTTTTAAACTTCATCAAAAACAACATACAGCTTCAGCTGCATCGTATCAAAACACCAAGGACCATATCATGATTTTACATCAATATAATCTCAGTGACGCACCGTCTGCATTTAACCATGTGACTGTGTGTGTCTGACATAAACACTCAATAAAAAGGAATCATTTGTCCCAGCCCCAGTTGATAATTTGTCTTTTTAGAATCTTTATCTCCCAATTCCCCTATTAACTCCCTGCCTAATCCTAATTTGTGCAAGTGTGGCACTTCAAAACAGACTGCAGACGGTCTCACACAGAGGTCTCCGGATCAAGCCCTGCAGCGGTGCCAATGACATGTTTACACAAAGAGTCACATCAGAACCTGCACATGCACCAAAGCCTTCTCCAGTGCACAACTTCCATTGGCTGTCATTGTTCTGCACCAGAGAGTTGGATATGGGGGGGATGTAAACTTGATTACTTTGGATTTTCCTATGGAGCGCGTACACAGGTTTGGTGGCAGTGCTAGGACAGTCGTTAGGTAAAGAGAACACAAGTCATCGCTAGGCAGTGAAGCAGTGTACAGTGTAGGGCCCACAGTGAACTATGCCACTGTAGACCGTAGAAACCACACAAACACAACAACATATTTGAACAGTAACACCCTGTTGAGATTCTCTAGTATCAGTAGCTTCACTGGTAGTGGAGTTAGTGCTCCTTGAAGGCAGAGCTATAGAAATACAGAGTAAGGCAAACTTGGTTTCAGGTCAACCCTTCGTTTGGAGCCATATTTGCACCAAATGCTCCAAGGTCATTACATCCTCCCATTCTAAAACATTGAGTAATTTCCATGAGGCTTTTAGTGCCAACATCGAGCGGACAGTTCCCCAAGCTATGTATGTCTATGGCTCTGCTCCACGGCAGCTAGATAGAGTGCGTGTTTCCAGAACAGATGGGTCCGGAGCAGCGGCAGGGAGGCGGGCTGTAATCCAGAGAAAGGCTTGTTATGGTGGAGATGTGGACTGAAAGCAGACAGATACCGTCAGAGCAGAACACACGAGGCCAGAGGGACCAGCGCCGCCAACAGGAAGTAGCTGACTCTGTAGAGGTGGAGTGGAGAGAAGGTCACCATGGCGATGGACATAGGGAGCGGGATGCAGGATGTCAGAGGCAGGAGTTTACTGAAAGAGATGAAGAAAAAGATGTTTCTATTTCCCCAAATGTTTCTCTCTTAAATGTGTGAATCTACGGTTTATAATGTCTCTGAGTGAATGTGTTGGTGACAATGTGCTTACCTGTTGCTGAGTTTTAAAGTGTTGCAGTTTATAAGCAGCATGTACACAATAATTAGAGGCGCCGAGAGCGGCCAACAAGGGTCAGGGTCCAACTGGGGGGAATACCTGCAGGGGATCACAACACATTCTCTTTTCATTCACCATGTACACAACCACGACACTGTGTCAAACAACAATTATTACTGTGTGCAATTGAGCATACGCTTGCTATAAAAGTTACTGGAAAATAATCACTTCAATTAAGTGATATTGGTATCAGCCATATCACTGTGAAATACACTTAAAACTAAGGACATCAATCATGAAAGCGAAGCAGTAAGTCGCTTGTTGGGAGAGTCCTCTTTTCAGCTCTGTTCCACAGACAGATCACAGGTCAGATTAGACACACAGCACCTCTGGAGCGGGTAAAGATTCAACAGCTGCTCTCATAAAAAAAGTGAAAGATCCAGTAATGAGGCAGCTTGCAAAACAATGTGCCAATATATGTCTGTAAATGTAGGGGAGTGGAGAAAACAATAGAGAAAGACAAATGCTGTTTGGCGATTAGTGTGGTCTGAGTCAGGGCACAGGAAGTGATAGGATAGGACATACTACTTCCCTTATAGACTGGGCCCAATTTAGCGCTGCTGCAGGTGTGATTGTGGCTGGAAATTGGTGTGGTCGTTCAATCTTTTTATGTTGACATTTGTATTTTTCTTAAACAGATACATAGCACTTATTAGCACTCTTAATGATGCAGTTGCAATTAGCAGACATTCTAATAAACACAGCCGTGGTGACCCCACCAGCAGGCGCTTTGTCTCTCACACTCATTTACATTACCTCAGGTTGCGGATCCAGTGGATGAGTGAGGGTGCGATAAGCATGACAGGCAGCGTGAAGAGCGCCGACAAGCAGAGGTGAAGCTGTAAGTCATCCCGCACCTCCTGCAGGGCGCACTCAGACAGCAGGGGGGCGACATTACATTCTGTAGACCTGCTCTGAGAGTCTCCCTCCACCGAGCCGTTCTCTGCTTCCTTGTGCTGCCGGGGGGCCTGGACAGATGGTGGGAAACACTATGACAACATCCAATTGGAATAGCTGCTAAATCCTGCCTCTGCATTCACATCCAATGCAACCTCAAACTGCACCAAAGTGACCATCTGGTGCTGGAAATCTCACCAGATTTAACATGTGACTCAAGGATCTTTCTGTCATCTGAAGCCTCAGCACCTGCAAACGGAGACAGTCGGGGGAGCAGAGTCAATGTTGTCGTTTATCGGTTTAATAATGAATGCTACTGTGTATAAAGACATCTGTATGACCATGTGCTGAGACTCACTCTGTAAAGATGGAGCAGAAAGGCAGCAAAGATAGACAACGCCCCGCAGGATACCCCCCCCATAACAGTTAGACTCAGAGTGATGAGGAACAGGGTCCGCCGTGGCAGAGTGCCGCAGTCTCTAGAGACGGATGGTCTGCAAAGAAGAGGAGGTTTACGGTTATGAGCTTGGATTTGAATATGGATATGAATCTGGATTTTTGAACTAAATATTTCTAAAGTCTGAAATGTGCCAGAAATCTCCACTCTAGCACCAGGCGTTACATTGGGTTTGGTCATGTATCTTTTGTAGCTTCATTTATATAACATTCCTTAAAACATGAAACATATTGACAGTTTGTTTCTGACTTACGAGAGTTACTCTAACAAGTCAAGCAAATACACCAAGAATATGAAATATGGCTTTATCTAATGTTTACATTTCAAACTTTCAGAAATGCATGCAAATCAGCTCATATTTAAAATGATAATGCATCCTCTCCATCAGGGCATTCGCACATTTCTCAATAACGGAAAAACAAAACCTTAAATATGGCAAAATAAATGGAAAAGATAAACACTCCTGATTAAGCTTGAAATACAGATCAGACACACAAGGTCAAGCTGAGTGTAAGCTTCCTATTTCCCATGCAGAAACATGCATACTGAAATGCTTACAGACCATCCAAATAGTTTGAATTCACATATCTTGATGTTTAAATGTCCAACCCTACCTGTGCAGTGGAGCCAGTATTAGAGAGATCAGCCTCACGATGAGACGCAGCAGTGCACTTCCCCAGAACGCCACAGCGGCCCCCCAGATGTAAAACAGAGGGGACAGGGGGTGGGGCCATTCTTCAACTGGTACCCCACCCTCATGGAATGTCATGTCAGGTGTGGTTGAGGGGAGGGCATCCATGGGGGGGAGGTAGAGAACTGACCAGACTTCTTGAAACCAGCTACAGCTGATCGGAGGGGGGAGAAGCAAGTACCTTGAGTAAGTCATATTTACTTTTTTATAGTATTTCAATGTTTTATTACTTTGTACTTCTACCCCACTACAATTCAGAGGTAAATGGTGCACTTTTACTCCACTACATTTATTCTGTACCTTTAGTTACTTTGCAGATCTGGATGAACGATGTGAAATATAATCAAGTCTTAGATCAGACTTTAGTTCCACCCAGTGGCGTTTTTATATGTACAGAAGTGGTGGGGCACGAACAACTTAGATGTATATATAAGCTTCTGGTGCTTTTTTAAACACATAAACAAATAGCTGCAGACACTTATCACCGACGTCACAATATCAATCAATCCAGCAGAGCAATAGCCTATAGGCAAAACACAGAATATCAACAAAAGATATGACATCAAATGAACTTACCAAAGCTGAAGTAGATGGTCCACTTCATTCATTTTCTTTCCCTTTTACTGATTTGAATCGCTATACGCTACTCTCTCTCGTCTCCTCTTCACATCTACACTTTTCGCGGCACACATACCGATCAGCTCTCTGAGTTATGAGATGATGTTTGGTGGGTATGGCAGGCAGCACAGTGCCCCTATGGTGATTATTCTTTTGAGCATGCGCTGTGTAGTTTTTACAGCAACCATTCATTTTAACGGCAGAGAGAGGGGCTTGCCCCACATCGCTCAACATGGCTCAATAGGCACACTGTAGACACTAATTACAAGAACGCAGACTAAAACCGCAATGTACAGACGAATCAGATGACTAAACATGATCTTAAAATATATTTTAACATTTTTTTTTTTTTGCATATTTGGGGAATTATGATTTGCATTACTTTCTGCTGACACTAGGTGGGGCTGTGCCAGCCTGCCCATAATGACGAGTTGCCACTGGTTCCACCTGGAGTAAATCCACAAGCTACCCTGCAGTATACAAAGTCATTCAAACTAGCTGCACCTTTACCAGCTTTGAGAACACTTTAAAGATCAGTCATTATAAAACATATCATATATATTATTCTGAAATGGACCAATCTGCATAATGACTACTCTTGATACTTTAACTATATTTTGATGCAAATACTTTTCTACTTTTACTTGAGTAACATTTTGATTGCAGGATTTTTGTAACGGAGTATTCCTATACTCTGGTACTTCTACTTTTACTTAAGTACCAGATCTGAGTACCCATCTCCCATCTCCACTTAAATGCAACTTTCAAAGCCTCACCTCATTAACATGTGCAGAATATAAACGGGCAGATTGACTTGATGGGGCTGTAGGCCTTTGCCCACCGCCTGGCTCATGTCTGCAGAGCGCCTGGACTTCAGGATGGAGCACAGCTGCCTCCTACAGGCCAGGAGCAGGGTAACAGCTGTGTACACAGGCACCATAGGACCACAGAACCGCAGTATCTGCAAAATAAGAGAGAACAGATTCGATCAGACCTGGGGGAACAATAAATCTAGAAGTGGTCTAAATGCAACAAACTGAAAATAAAATACTAGAAAGTTCTACCTGTCCCAACACCCGGGGTAATGAAGTCCTTACTGATACCTGAGGGGGAGAACCATATATTTCACATCATGTTCTAACCTTCTTATCGGTGATTAGAGAAAACATTTGCCATGATGAATGGTGGTCTGAGTACTTCCCACGCCTGAGGAGTAGTACCTTATATTGGCAGTTGGGGGCAGTGTGAAGCAGAAGGAAGACACCTGAGCTGTTGTCTGGACGACTTGTGTGTAGCATCCCTGAGATCTCAGTCACTGACGGCACACTGGCATACAGACAACATCAAGTGTCAGAATCAGTGAATATGACGTGTGAGTGCCAGCAGAAGGAGCTCAGAGACACACTGACCTGGCGGTGGTTAAAGAGTCCTCTCCAAACCACGGGACATGTATTCTGTATACGTTGGGCAGTCTATCTGCAGGCACATGTAAAATGGTCATTATTACATGTGAAGATGGGCCAATGTTTCTGCCTATGTTTCAAAACAAGAACGTACCTTTGTGTACTTTGCACTGGCTTGCCACATTAATCCTCAGAGCCTGATAGACCTAAAGACACAGAGGGTTTAGAATGCAGTTAGACAGGAAGAGCAGTGATAGAGGCCGCGAGCATCAGTGAACACAGATCTACCTGGTGGAAGTGCTGCAGCTGGATGATGTGAAGAAGTCCAGAGGAGTTGACAGAAACATCGCTGGCAGTCAGACCTGGAACAACCAACAGTTACTGAAAGTAATGTGTCTTTTCCCTCCTAGTATATATCTATCCATCTATCCAAGAACATCTGCATCAATAGACGACGGGGTTCATTTCTAAATCTGCCTCGATTGCACATTGTCAAATTTTGCTTTCATCCATACACCAACTTTTCCACCTCAGCCAAACATGAGTTATATTTAAAGATTTTGTTCAAAATTCCCCTCTAGTTTTGTATGCTAAATTTGAAAAAGCAAAACACCAGTAGGTGGAAATGAACCTAGAAACATTACTCACCAAAGGACAGGACATGTGGTGCTGGGACAGACAGAGTCTGAAATTCTTGTCTCTGCCACTCACACTCCACTGTAAACTGTGGACCAGACACACTTTGTTTAAATTAAACAATTAGTCATCATTCTAAAGCAGGTTGTTACAGAGTTTTTATTCTGTCTGTTGTGGCTACTGTTGCTGGGCGGTCTCAGGCCTCATAGCATGAATGTACCTGTTTGCCATTGAGGTTGGAGGCAGAAACAAGCAGATGAGTAACTGAAGACAAGTTGCTGAGACTCAGAACGAGGACCTGAGGAGGAGAACAGTAACCATGAGTAACCAACACCAGCTCAGACTGGAAGGTGTCTCTTCAGAGGACAGTTACCTTGTAGGGTGGCAGGAGCTCAGTTCCTGTGGACAGATCCACTGTATGCACACTGTCAAATATAAAAGAGCAAAAATGAAACATTTTGGATCTGCTGTAATATAACCACAAATGACATCATATGATCTGTTCGTTGTAATGAAGTGCAGAACAAATAGGACAGTTAAACTATCCAGATGCTGATGGAGAATATACAGTAGGAAAGAGATAACACTATTATCAGATTCTCACCATGAAGAAGCGTTCACACAGCCGTACACCCAGCTACTCATCTCCTGTTGGACAACAACAATAATCACACTCAGAATTAGTACAGATGACTTGGGAAGCCCATTTCCACAAATGTATTTTGTGGAAAAGACATATTCAAGCATAAACAAGAGTCATCTATAAAAGTTCATACCTGGCTGTAAAAGAAAAAAGATTAGATGAAATCATAGCCGTGTGTGATTCATTATTTTAGATACTAAGTCATTGTTTTGCAATACTAAGTCCTCTTTTTGGCAAAGCAAGTAATTATTTGATGATATGAAGTATTTAGGGGGGAGCATGTGTGAGTGAGTTAAATACAGAGGGGAGGCCAGCATTAGCCCAGCATTAGCCCAGCATTAGCCCAGCATTAGCCCAGCATTAGCCCAGCATTAGCCCAGCCAACTCTCACCAGGTTGTTGCTCCGGCAGTAGAAATGGCTGTAGGCTTTCCTGCGGCTCGACAGGGCAAACAGAAAGTATTTGACTTGTCCTTCCTGTAGACACAGAACAACAATGAAGACAACCAGCCTATTCATTTTCTGACAGTATCAGGGCTTTTGTTTTCTCAAATATATATAAATAACAACGTCTGATACCTTTGGTGTGCTGTAAGCCAGACGCAGTGTGTTAACTTCACTCCATGCTTCAGGAAAATCTGGAAAAAAAGACACAAATAAGTGATTCTTGAATGATGCCACTCAGTCAAATCTTCATTCATTCACTTTGCTTTATAGAGAAAATGAATGCATACTGTATGCAGAAATATGGTTCTAAAAGCACATGGACATGAATGTGCTGTAAACACTAGACTTCTGAAGAGTACTGGCACGTCTGTTTCCTGGGCTCTCCAGGGTGAGGTGTGTCCCTCTAACCTGAGATGGAGACGGAGGTTACTTGAGTTTCTGCCAGCATCCTGACAGGGTGTCTGATGAAGTGATGGCTCAGGACAGCCATTTTCTTCTCTGGGTTTACTGAGAACTAATAAGAACAAACACGTAAGCTTGGAGACAGATGGGAAGAAGCATTCTTATCAAAAATAAATATAATGTCTCTAGTACAGTACAGTCTCCTCTCTTCTGTGAGGTCAATGAAATCCAACATTCAATGTTCTCTGCCATTGTTTATATTTGTGACTTTGTTATACTGTTCTCCCGTTAACTTCCAGAAACATACTAAGCTTGCTCAACTTCTCTCTCTCTACACATGCACACACCCGTATCCCACTCTTTCTCAGCCTAAAAAAAGGGATAGGCTGTCCTTGTCTGCATTATGCTACTATTACAGTATTTACAGTAAAACATCGGCAAAATTGTTACTCGGCAGACAATTTTTGAATCGATGCATCCCTAGTATTAAGGTTTCCTGTACCAACCTGTCTGGTTTCAGGATCGATGAGGTCGAATAATGCCCTGACAGTAGCAAGAACAAGCTCTTTGCACCTGGAACACAAGGGCATATATACTTATATAATCTGCATACTATTTCAATATAGTTCTAAAGAAATGCAAAGTCTAGCAAACATAAGGTCATGTCTTTTACCAAACAATGGACAGGTGGTCAGTAGACACCCAGGTCCTGGGAACTGCAGTTGCCTTGAAAAAAACAAGATGACATGAAACGTCAGAGTGAAACAAGATCAAAACAGTAGTATTTGAGTTATTGTCTCATAGGGGCTCATAAGGCAGAAAAGAACACCTCTGAAGCAGGAACTACATTTCGACCCAGTCACTTCACCTGCAGATGCTTACTCATCATTTTGAAACACTTACTCATTCATTCGTGAGATTGTATCATTATACTTACTTATTGCATATTTTTTCATCACAAGGCTCTAACTTTTTTAACATCAGTTATGGAATTAATCTGACCAAACTTTTCTATGGATGTTGGTTAAAGGTTTTCTGCATGTAAACGGTCTGCAAAGTCACAAACCCTCAAAGTAAACCCTGTAGCGAGTAAAACTCTAACACAGAAAAGACCTGTCTGTGCTGCCCCAGAACGCCTCGTTGGAGATGTCTCTTTTTCTTGCTGGGTACAGTGACGTGCCCATACCCAAATGGACCCATTGGTCCAAATGGACCAATCCGTGGAGCCGTTACGTTACTACGTCCGCGGAGCCGTTAGGTTAAGTCCGTGGATTGGTCCATTCCTTCCTCAAACACACACACACACACACAATCTTTTCTCAGCTGCAGCTCCGCCAATTTCTCCTCCCTGAGACGGCGGGACGCGGCGAGGCTGTGAGTCGAGTATGTCGGAAGAGCAACATATCATACCACCATAGAGTGAGAGACAGGATCATGCCGAACAAACGGCTCCGAGGACCGGGGGGGGAGGAGGGATACTCGGGTCTCAACCGTCCAGACGCTCTGGCGCTCTGTGTTCGATTTTGGGTCGGCTTGGTGTGTGTGGTGTTTGTGGCGGTCGGGACCCGACACTCAGACACACAC